AATACAAAAATCAAACTTTTTATGCGTGCGTCCATTTTTTTTGACTCGTACTGTATATATATATAGTTTTAAGGTGTGCTATATTTATGGGATAAAGTGCTCAATATCAGAGATAGAGAATATTTAAATTATAAATATAAAAGTGAATATTGAAGTCAACACTCAGAGGCGACAGGCTGTTTCAGGATGGACGCAATCGTCAGGCCGTGACGATTGCGTCCAGCATAAAACAGCCTTTCGTCTCTGAGTGTTGACTTCAATGTTCACTTTTATATATATATATATATATATATATATATATATATATATATATATATATCATATTTTGAAAATTCTTTTTGAAAAATATTTTTTCAATCTAGCCAAATTCATCTGTATTCACCTTTGTCTCTGACTATCCCATATTGTAACAACAGATAATTTACCAAGAATGGTGATATATTGTAAGAGCCTGGGCGCAAATTTATATATATATATATATATATATATATATATATATATATATATATATATATATATATATATATATATGCTTATTTAGGCATGTGGGTATTTCTCATTTTACTAAATCACATTATTGCTTCAAATTGTCAAATTCAGTTTCTATTTATATAACGCTTTTATCATGTGACCAATAATGCAGTAATTTGGTACTTGAGGGGCAAAGTGGCCTTCCGACGACAGGAAACTCATTTGAGTATCGTTTTCAATCACCGCCAACCGGAAACGGAAATTAAAGGTGACGCCATTTTGAAACTACAGCTATGAGAATCAGAAACAACGTTGTAAGTCTACTAATTGGAAAGGATGAGTACATGTAAATATTTACACACACACACATATATATATATGTGTGTGTGTGTGTGCGCGCGCGTGACAAAGTGGAAAAAGTTTACTTGTTTCATCCTTCAGGACTTAATCGGACTAAATTTATCATGTTCGTACGAATACGCATGCGCACAACAGAAGGGTGCTGGAGATTTCTGAAGTTTTCTTTTTTAGAATTTTTTTTTTTATCTAACCGGATTCATTCAGGATCGTTTTCTTATGAATTCGGCTAGATATATATATATATAAAAAAAAATCGAAAATCCCCGGCACACTTCATTCGTGAGCATGTGTAGTCGTACCAACATAACAGATTCAGTCCTGAAGGACGAAACGCATCACAAATAAACTTTTTCCACTTTGTCTCACAATTTCCCCAATATTGTCCTTGATAAATAAAAAAATATATATCGTTATCTGATATATATAGGCACCTCCACTGCTCAATACCTAAGTTTTAAAATTAAATTTTAAAAATGAAAAAACATTCTTGAAGATTTCGTTCTAGCTTTAATTGAAAGCTAAACGATTAAATTTATTATTTCAAGTAATTAAAATATTCTGGTGTATTTCAGATAGAAATTATATAGATTAAAATTCTCTTAAAAGCGGCCATTTTCTTAATTTTTAAGAAATTTGTAAACAAACACATTTATCGGGTTTTAAATTCTTTAAAAATTAAATTATCGATTTCTGACACGTTATTTGAGTAAAATTAGAAAATTTAAAGTTAAATTAATCGGATTTGAAATAAATATTACTTACTTATAGCATAAAAACCAATATACAAGGATTTCTTAACAATGGGTTCCTCTTTCTTTGATCTTTATTGACACACACACACACACACACACACACACACACACACACACACACACACACACACACACACACACACACACACACACACACACACACATATATAAAGAGATTATAAAATTTTAAAAGGGTGTTGCCTTTTTTGACAAATCAGGATACAAGTGTAATTATGATGGCAAAGTGTAAATATAGGTTAAGGGTTAGGTATGGGTTTGTAATTTCTGCCTGTTGATACTGGCTTCCTTATATGAGAACGTGTCATCCTGTCTGTTTTTTTTTTTAATTTAGGGGCATACACAAGATACACTACAATACACTGGCATTTTTATTTAATTTTTAGTTATTTTTTCTTTATATAAAATACATTAGGGTTGTCTTCAAATATGATTAAGTGATATTTTATATATTTATATTTTTATATATAAAGATCTAAAATACTATATTTATTATATTTATTAGTATACTACTTAGGCTATTATTAAAATTAATATTTAAAATTTTGGAATTTAATTACGCAGTTTCCTACCTTCTCATTTGTGATCAAATAATCGATAATTATGAATTTTTTAAAATTAATTATGTTTTAATTTAAACTGTTTTTATAGACATTGCATTATGCTATTTCTTTTCTTTGATTTAATAAATCTTTATTTTTCAGAAACTTAATATATAAATTTTCATGTGGGCACAAAGGACATAGCTCATTTAAAAACCTACGAGTTCTGTTATTTTAACAATTTCCATTTTACTGTGGGTGTTTTTTTCTTCTTTTCAATGTATATATTTATTTGTTTTCTTTTATATATATGTAATTATTATTATAAGAGACTATAACAAAAACATGTTGAAATCGCTACACAAATCTGTTCTTTCTCTCATTTATACATATATATATATATATATATATATATATATATATATATATATATATATATATGTGTGTGTGTGTGTGTGTGTGTGTGTGTGTGTGTGTGTGTGTGTGTGTGTAATTTAAAAGATAAGGTGGAAGCCGAAAACGTTTTTTGCTTATAATGTGGATTTTTAAAATATATATTATACTTTATTTTCCATATTTTGCTACACGGGTTTCCGGTTTCCCGACCTTCATCAGACAGAAAGTGGTTATTTCCACATACTATTAAAAGGAATTAATTTTCCTTATATTTTCCGATGTTTGACCATTGTCTTTTGTGCATAGTAGTAATCCAAATGTTTCTTGGACTTGTGGCTAAAATATTCTGCTTCTTAAGGGGTAATAAAACAATTAGGATTGGACAGAGAAAAGACGAAGAAAGGAGGTCTTCGTTCTTATCTTTTTATGACTCCTGTATCTTCTTAAATTTATCTCGGGAAGGAAATGTACGAGACTGGTATGAACACCATCCAGACCCGGTTACAGACATAGGATGTGTAACAGTTTTAATGGACTTACAATATACACAGACAGAATAACCACAGTGCAATGTGCTTTCTCATTGACATGGCAGTCCCGGCAGATTGTCATGTTTCATTGAAGATCCTGAAAAAAATAATAAAATACAAGGACCTGAAGTGGAAATCTCAGACAGTTACACATGAGGACATCAGTAATTTCACATGTAGCTGGGTCCCTCAGTTTGATTAGAAAAGGTTCTGAGAGACTCATCGAAAGGATTCCTGGTAGCTCAACCCTTAAAGAAATACAAATCTGTGATCTTAGTTTTTTTTTTTTACAAAAATGATCGGTGTAAAATGTCATGAAGACATTTCTGACCTTAGGTCTCTGCTTGGTACCCGGAAAGGAAAGTGTATACAACAGAAATCCATGGAAATAATAATAATAATAACAATAATAATAATGGACACAGTTACCCAAAATGGCGATGTAACTATCCTCTGGGATATTCCAATTCAAACAGAGAGGGAAAAAAATAGACCTGATATTATAAAAAAACAAGAAATTCATCTGAGAGAAACTGTCCAAATAAAAGGACCTGGAGATCGAAATTAACAGGATGTGGAGAATGATCACTGAGACTGTACCAGTAGTAATCGGAGAACTGGGCCTCGTGTGAGAAAATGAATGGACAATTTTTACTAATAGTGTCCCAGGTAACATCAACATACAAGTTGCCAAGAAAATCGCCCTACTAAAACCATCCCATTTCTAAGAAAAGTACTATCAATTAAATGACAATTAAGGAGCATAGTTCGAATCCGGCTCTACAGGATACAAAGCTGTGATCACACAAAACAACAACAACAATAATAATAATAATAATAATAATAATAATATAGTTGATAAAAACATTTACAGTATTTCTCGAGAAAATCTCATATATATATATATATATATATATATATATATAATTATTCAGTCGCAATTGTAATTTTCATTATTTTAATTCTCCTTATTCAAACGTCGAGCCAGAGATTGTCTATTCTGTCATAAAAGAATGTATCTAACATTGTATCAACAAATCTTTTAATGGATTCTTCCATATCTTGAAATTGTTGAAACTCGTCAGAAGCCAACAATTGTTACATGGAAAGAGACAAATGATAACCTGAAGATGACTGACTTGGGCAATATGCCGAACGAGGAAGAATTTCTTATCCCAGTTATATCGTTTCTTATCCCAGTTATATCGTTGTTTGCTAACTCGAATTTGTAACAGGAGAACGGCTGTTATCGAGTAATAAAATCATCTAAAGTACCTTTGTCCAGAAAATGATCAAGTCATCGTACAGTTGCAGCAATTCGTGATAAAGAATTCTAATTGTATTCAAGCAACACACATTTTCCTCTTCAGATTTCTTTTAGATGTTGGAAGCTGTCTGGGAATTAGTCACTATTTTCTTCCTTTTATCTCAATGACTTTATTTCTGCGTCGAGCCAAAAAGAGAAAGACAATCTTGTAAACGCTGAACGTTATTTGCTTTAGTCAGTTCATGTGAAAGTCATTTTCCTGTCTTCTGGATTTTTCATTAAGCTTGGAAAGAAAGAAAGAAAGAAAGAAAGAAAGAAAGAAAGAAAGAAAGAAAGAAAGGAAAAACTATGAAATACGAACATACAGAAAGAAAGAATTAAACAAAGAAAAAAAAGAAAGAAAGAGCAGTGGAAACGAAAAAGAAATAAAGAAGGAAAATAGATAACTGAAATGGGAAAAAAAGAAGTAAAGAAAAACGAAATGAAGATTAAAAACGAACAAAGAAAGGCGTAAAGGACAAGGAAAACGAAGAAGGAAAGAAAAACGAGACCAGAAAGAAAGAAAGAAAGAAAGAAAGAAAGAAAGAAAGAAAGAAATAAAGAACAATGAAACATTAGACTTGGATATGAATAGATGAATAATTAAAGAAAGGAAGATAAGACATTAAACTTGAAAAGAAAGAAAGAAAAAAATGTAATAAAGAACGAAATAAACCAGAATTCCAAAGAATGAAAGGAACGAAAAAAAATAGATAGAAAGAAAAGTGCACAGAAATATGAGAAATGAAAAAGAATGAAAAATAAAGTAGAAAAAGGCAAAAAGACAGAAAAAGGAATAAGGAGAGAAAAAGATGTAGAAAAGATACAGAGAAAGGGAAAGGAAATAAAAAACACAAAAAAGGAAAGGAAAAGAAGAAGATAAAGAAAAAGAAAGAAAAATCACAGAAAAAATAAAAAGAAAGAAAAAGATAAAAGGAAAGGAAAAAGAAGTAGAAAATGGCGAAATACACAAGAAAAAGATTAAGGTAGGAAAAAGATGCAGAAAAAAGAAAAGGAAAGAAAAAAGACAGAAAAAGAAAAGGAAAGAAAAAAGACAAAGGAAAGGAAAGAAAAAAAGACAAAGGAAAGGAAAGGAAAAAGAAGCAGAAAAAAGAAAAGGAAAGAAACAAAAGAAAAAAACAAAAAGAAATAGGAAGGAAAGAAAAAAGACACAGAAAAAAAAGGAAAGAAAAAAGACAGAAAAAGAAAAGGAAAGAAAAAAGACAGAAAAAGAAAAGGAAAGAAAATAGAAAAAAGGAAAGGAAAAAGAAAAAGGAAAAAATAAAAGGAAAGAAAAAAGAAAATCGGAAAAAAAAGACAGAAAAAAAGGAAAGGAAAAAGAGTTCTCATACGATCACCAAAGTTAAACAACGCCGAATCTGCTCAGTGCCTGGATGGGTGACCGCTTGGAAATATTAGGTGCTCTAAGCTTGGGGATGCGGGTGGTGTAATGGATAATGGCTGGGTATCTTTAAATGAAGAGCCGAGTTCCAATCCGTGTTGGGTTCGTTATATTTACTTACGCACAAATATCATTAGGAAAGGAATAAATCCACCTCTTCTTCCCCTCAGCTATGGGTTAATTAGTAAAATTTGCACTACTAAATCATTATTATTACAAAATAAAAATCTTACAATCTAAATATATTTCTGGCTTTAAATAACTTGGAAAGGGTTGATAAACCGTGGAAAAACGATTCAGTCAAAGTCTTACATTGTCCTTTTTTTCTTTCTTTTTATTTTTCTCATTATTGCTGTTTTTTTTCGCCAGTTTTCATTCTTTGATAGTTGATTTCTTTGAGGCACTTTCTTTCTTTCTTTCTTTCTTTCTTTCTTTCTTTCTTTCTTTGAATCCGTCGTTTCTTCCTTCGTCGTCTTTCATTGTCTCTTCTTTCTTTCTTTCTTTCTTTCTTTCATATTTTGTCTTCCCTTCGTTTTCCTCGTCTCTTTTTGTTTCTACTTCATTTTCTTTCTTTCTTTCTTTCTTTCTTTCTTTCTTTGGATGTTCTTTTATATTTTCTGCATCTTTTTTCTTCATCTTCTGTTGTATAGTTGTCTTTTTTTTTTAAAATTCCGTTGTCATTCTTTGGTAGTTGATTTCTTTGAGGCGTTTTCTTTCTTTCTTTCTTTCTTTCTTTCTTTCTTTCTTTCTTTCTTTCTTTCGTTGTATATCATTGTCCTTTCTTTCTCTTTTTGTGCTTCATTGTCTTTTCTTTTCGTGTTCCTATGGCCTTTCTTTCTTTCTTTCTTTCTTCCATTGTCCTTCCTTCCTTTCTTTCTGTCTTTACAAAAAAAAAAAAAAAAAAAAGAAAAGAAAAGAAAAAAAGATAACCATTAGATAGGAAAATGACTTCCACATGAATTTACTGAAACAAATATCGGTCAGTGTTAAATAAACTTGTCTATTGCTTGGCTCGTAGCAAAAATAAAATCATATTTGGACAAGATGATCACAGGTGATGAAAAACGGAATTATTATAAGAATCCAAAATAAAGCAAGTCATGACTCAATCGCAGACAGCTCCCAACATCGAAATGAAATTTACAGGTGTCTCTCTATTTACCTGTGTGTTGCTTTGATACAAAAGGAATTCTTTAACACGAATAGACAAAATTGATGGTTTCATTCTTCCTTTTTTTTTCCTCGATTTTTTCTTTTATGCTTTTTGTATTTCTTTCTTAGCGATTTTTTTCAATTTTCATTTTCTTTCTTTCTTTCTTTCTTTCTTTCTTTCTTTCTTTCTTTCTTAACCTCTTTTCATTTTCTTTCTTTCTTTCTTTCTTTCTTTCTTTCTTTCTTTCTTCTTAACCCCTTTTCACTTTCTTTCTTTCTTTCTTTCTTAACCCTTTTCATTTTCTTTCTTTCTTTCTTTCTTTCTTTCTTTCTTTCTTTCTTTCTTTCTTTCTTTCTTTCTTTCTTAACCCCTTTTCACTTTCTTTTTTCTTTCTTTCTTTCTTTCTTTCTTTCTTTCTTAACCCTTTTCATTTTCTTTCTTTCTTTCTTTCTTTCTTTCTTTCTTTCTTTCTTTCTTTCTTAACACCTTTTCATTTTCTTTCTTTCTTTCTTTCTTTCTGTCTTGCTTTTCCTCAATGTTTCTCTTTCTTTCTCTGTATTTCGTTATAAGCAGCTATTTCATTTTCTTTACTTCTTTGCCGTTGTTTTTTTCTTTTTTGTATTTCTTTCTTATAACGTTTTTGTTTTCTTTCCTTCTTTCTTTCTTTCTTTCTTTTTCTTGATATTTTCATCTTCTTTCTTTGAATTTATTTTTTATCGCCTTTTGGTTTTCTTTCGGTTTTCATCTTTCTTTCTTTCTTTCTTTCTTTCTTTCTTTCTTTCTTTCTTTCTTTCTTTCTTAGCTTCTTTCATTTTCTGTCTTGCTCGCTTGCTTTTCCTCGGTGTTTTCTTTTTCTTTGTCTTTCTATGAATTTCTTTCTTAGCACTTTTTCGTTTTCTTTCTTTCTTTTTCTCGATTGCTTTCATCTTCTTTCTCTGTATTTCTTTTTCAGAAGCTTTTTACTTTATATTTTTCTCTGTATTTATTTCTTTTACTTTCTTTTCTTTATTGTTTCATTATTTGTTTTTCGTATTTCATTCATTCTTTCATTCCTTTCTTCTTTCTTTCCAAGCTTAATGAAAAATCCGGAAGATCGGAAAATGACTTCCACATGAATTTACTGTAAAAAAAAAATATCGGTCAGCGTTTATAAATTTGTCTGTCTCTTCTTGGCTCAACGCTGAAATAAAAGATAAAAAGATATTGAGATAAAACTAAGAAAATAGTGACTAATTCTCAGACAGCTTCCAACATCTAAAAGAAATCTGTAATGGAAAATGTATGTTGCTTTAATACAATCAGAAAACTTTATCACGAATTGCTACAAGAATCCATGACAAAATCCCAGCGAACAAAATCGCAGTGGACAAAATACCAGCGAACGAAATCGCAGTGGACAAAATCCCAGCGAACGAAATCGCAGTGGAAAAATCGCAGTGGAAAAAATTGCAGTGGAAAAAATCGCAGTGGACAAAATTGCAGTGGAAAAAATCCCAGCGAACAAAATCACAGTGGACAAAATCGCAGTGGACAAAATCGCAGTGGACAAAATCCCAGCGAAAGAAATCGCAGTGGACAAAATCGCATTGGAAAAAATCGCAGTGGACAAAATCGCAGTGGAAAAAATCCCAGCGAACAAAATCACAGTGGACAAAATCGCAGTGGACAAAATCTCAGCGAACGAAATCGCAATGGAAAATTCCCAGTGGACAAAATCGCAGTGGACAAAATCGCAGTTGAAAAAATCCCAGCGAACAAAATCACAGTGGACAAAATCCCAGCTAACGAAATCGCAGTGGGAAAATCGCAGTGGACAAAATCGCAGTGGACAAAATCCTAGCGAACAAAATCGCAGTGGACAAAATCCCAGCGAACGAAATCGCAGTGGACAAAATCTCACGGACAAAATTTCAGCCTCTTATCTTAAAAGTGAACAAAATCCCAGTAAGACTGATAAGACTGAACTTAACATTGAAAATTTAAGGAACTTTTAATTCAAATTTTGATGTCAAATTGAGGCAAGATATTTTTTATAAGTATTTCATCCCAAGAAAGGCGAAAGTTCTACTAGTACGAAAGGAGTTATGGAGAGTGAAATTAAAAGAAAAAACTGGGTATAGGGGTGGGGATGGAGGATAGGATAAAAAAAAGAACGGGCGTCAAGGCATTAGAAGAACTGACATTACATTTAAATTTTTGAAGATTATAGTTATCAAGGAAGCAAGTAAGAGGAAGGGAGTTACACTGTCGGGAAGTGCGAGAGAAGAAGCTGTTGGAGTAGAAAAGTCGGTTACATTTAACTGTTTCGACGATAAAAGGGTGGATCTGAGATTACAGTCTAGTAGCACGCTTAAATTCATGCAGTCGAGGCACCAGGGAAAATAGAGCAGTTGCCATGAAAATGTTTTGTAGAAAAGCCACATCACGTCTGTGAGAAATTGATTGAAGTCGAGATGCCAAGTCATGACCGATCACATTGCATATCCGTCTTTGGAATTTGTTGGGAACCTCGAGTTGAACAGCAGAGGCACCAAACCATATATGGCAACAGTATTCCATGCATATACACAAATGAAACATGAATGGAAAGATAGCATTCCGGATACAGAAAGTGCTGAAAATAGCTAACATTCAGTGACTATATCCCGTCATGCGGTCTCGGCTTCTCAGGTGCCTTGGGTACGCTGCGCGCAAATATAACTCCAAAATTCCCAAACAAATACGGTATGGGAAGCACTGAGGTCACGCGTAACGTTGGACGACACGGGCTTCGCACCAAGAACCGGTGTAAAACGTCCATGATGAAATTTTCTATCAATGTTGCGAGCTGGGATGCGGTTACCCGGGATCGAGTTGGGTGGCGAGCTGCTGTTTTCCCGAGAGCAAAGAGCTATGAAGAATACAGAGTCCAGCGCGCCATAAAGGATAGACAAAGACGTAAAATGTCCCACGTTGGATGACCCCACAGTATCCTACTACTGTGGTCGTTCCCACAAACCGTGCCGATCGCGCATTCGTTGTTTTAGAGCGGCGCTGTGTTTTAAGGTAATTTATTTTCCGCTGCCGACCATCGCCATCGACGAAAAAGTTTATATAAGGTTGTGAGCATGAAATAAGTTTATATATTGGATATTGTGTTCATTATCTCAATTTGACATTGGAGTGTATATATTGGATATTGTACATAAGTTTATATATTGGATATTATTATTATTGTCTAAGTTTGATATGAAAAATAGATTTAAAAGTTCCTTGAATATTCAATGTTAAATTTGTTTCTTTTTATATAGAATATTGCTGTCACAAACGGTCCGGTGTTCCTGCTATTTACTTAGAACTCTTTGAAAAAAAAAATCCAAAACAGCATTTGCAACATTATTGGTCCTAATCTGGCAGCTCAGCTTGTCAGTTTCTCACTGCCATAAGTTTGCTTCTCTGTGCTTTTTCTATAAGTACTTTTATGGTAATTGTTCGGATGAGCTCTTCGCTAGGGTCCATAGATATTTTGAATTTAAGCGCAGTACTAGACTGGCGTCCAGTTCTCATCTATTTACTGCTGAGCTGGCTAGGATATAGTAGTTACTTTTCTCGCAATTCTCGCTTGTGGAACTCTCTTCTGGCTCCATGTTTTCCAGTCAACTTTAATCTGCAAGAATTTAAATGCAATGTCAGTCGCTATCTACTGTCCTTCTGGTTAATCTTTTCTCTTCCCGCCGCTCATTAGTAATGTTTCTGTTCCTAATTTTTCCACATCCAGTCTTGTGTTTTAGTGGCTTTACTGCCTTGCTTGGGGTGAAATCAATCAAAATAAAGCTGATGTTTTGTCCACTTTTCGGATAAGGTGCTGGGATTTTATCCGCTGGCATTTGTCCGCTGTTTTTTGACTGCTAGGATTTTATTCACTGGTAATTTTGGCCTTTTATCTTACTGCAAGAATACGGTTGGTTTGATCATTTTCTGGACAAAGGAACTGATGGCTGTACTGCTCGGTATCATCCGTTCTCTTCTTGCAATTTCGACGTAGCGGGAAGCGATATTGATGTGCAGATGGTGCAAATAGTTAGAGGTTCGGAGCGGGAAATCGCCAAGTTCGAATTCCGTTTGGGATCGTTATATTCACATTCGAACAAATACATTTCGTTAATATACGAATCTGTCTCTTATCTCTCAGCCATGGGTGAAATTGCAGGACAAACTGGACTCTGCAGCAACCAGTCTAGGAGAAAGACAACTCTGAATTCAAAATCTTGAGGCTATTGTCGTTCTTCACTCGCTCCAAATAATAATCGTCTTTGGATGTATCCCGACAATTTCAAGATATGATAAAATCTATCAAAGAAATCGTTGAAAAAAACGCCAAACCATTTCTTTTATAATCGTACTATTTATTCCTGTTTTAATAGTCTGATCGGTTCAATAAGTCAAATTGGTAGTTGATCTAAAAATATGACCTTCAATCTCTTCTTAGTTGGGGGAAAATGGATTATTTTTAAAACCCCCACAACGAAACTTCTGTTTAACGTTCCAGAACAGTTGCGTACAGGAGATTTGCGTCTCGGATAATTGCGTTCCAGACAAATGCGTATATGGAAATTTGCGTCCCGGATAATTGCGTACTAGACAAAAGCGTATATGTGAATTTGCGTCCCGGATAATTGCGTACCAGACAAATGCGTACTGGACATTTGTGTCCCGGACTATTGCGTCCCGGATAATTGCGTAGTGGAGATTTGCGTCCCGGAAAATTGCGTACCAGACAAATGCGTACTGGACATTTGTGTCCCGGACAATTGCGTACCAGACAAATGCGTATATGGGAATTTTCGTCCCGGATAATTGCGTTCCAGACAAATGCGTATATGGAAATTTGCGTCCCGGATAATTGCGTTCCAGACAAATGCGTACCGGACAATTGCATACCAGACAAATGCGTACCAGACAAATGCGTCCTGGATAATTGCGTACCAGACAAATGCGTACTGGACATTTGCGTCCCGGATAATTGCGTATATGGAAATTTGCATCCCGGATAATTGCGTACCAGACAAATGCTTATATGGACATTTGCGTCCCGGATAATTGCGTACCAGACAAATGCGTATATGGACATTTGTCTCCCAGACAACTGCGTGCCAGAAATTTGTTTTAGAATAATTGTCGGACTTTGTCCATTTCATAATGTGTGAAGGTATTTGTTTACATTTGGATACGCATCGAGCAGATATGAATGTACCTGAGAAAATCATGGAAAATTTTAGTTTAAAAACGGTAAAATCGACCTTCCTAACCGAATGCTCCTTTGTAGCCCAATCGTTAAAAGCCCGTCAGGCTAAATGATGGTTCCGTATAGGATCAGTTCTGTATAGGATACAGGTTCGATTCGTGTCGGAGGACGCATATTTTCTATGAAAATTTCTAGGACATTCAGACCGGTAAATGTTGTTTAATACTGTTTATTATAAACAGAGGATTTACTTAAATATTTGTATCTATAAACATGTATAAACATAAAAATATCTTAAAATAATTGTCGGGCTTTGTCCATTTCATAATATATATGTATATATATATATATGTAAAAGAACGAAGAATAAAATTGCAACGTTCAAAACGTTAATTTAAACAGGCTCAATACAATAGTAGAGTAATAAATATTTATTATACACTGTTACATTAGAACATTCTAATTTAACAATATATATATATATATATATATATATATATATATGGTTGGATAGATGTGAGTTTGTGACCCTGGGTTTCACGCTTTAGCGATCGTCAGACAAACTGATTAATGTTTTAAAAAAACTCACAAAAAAAACTCACATCACAAACTCACATCTATCCAACCAAATATGTTAGCTCTATCTCTGATATTGAGCGCTTTCTAATAAGTACCCATATAATATATAAATAATTATACATATATATATATTTATTTATATTTATATTCCTTTTCACTTTATATATATATATATATATATATATATATATATATATATATATATATATATATATATATATATATATATATACACATTTATTTGGTTCGTTTTCGCATATCGGTCAATACATTTGCAAACGTGCAATTATTGCAATGAAAATCTGATGAGTGTTTAAATTGTGCGCATGCGCTGCATTTTCTACGCACGCGCGCTAGCATACTCTCATGATATAATTGGGCTGTAAAAGATTCGTCTTTAGAATTTTTAGCCTTTGGCAAATGTCAAGTGTTTCTACACATTTCTCCCCTTTTTTTTCTTTAATTGGGTATAATTTAAATCTGTCGGAGTAAATATACCACTGTTTATCTTATACATATAAATATACAACTGTTTTTTTTTTCATTTATATTTAAGCGTAAAGGGAAAGAAAAAATGTCAGAGGCTTAAGAAAACTGAATTCGGTCTTTAAGTTAAAATATATATAAAGTGGTTAATAATTTTTCGTGGCTATCTGTGAAAAGAGACTATTTAATAGAATTCAGTGTGTGGTCCGATTTCATAGATGCTGCAAATGACAGATATTTTTATTATTTTTTTCTTTTAAACTCAATTGAAACAAGAAAAATTATTTCGTAGCTAAACAGGCCATTTCATTCATACGTTACTTGAATTGAAACTCACTGCTCACAGATTGACCCCATTTTTCATAGAAATTGTCGACAGCACTAGTTCGGGCTTCTATTTTAAACATTTTAAATTTCCGTTTACAGTAACATCTATTAAATATTTATGTTTTATAAACAATATTGTTCTGTATTTTTGTTCCCAGAATATCTGTCTGCCATGACAGATGAAAATTTTTAGAAGCATTAGAAATATCCTTTTAGTATGCATATCTATCTATCTATCTATCTATCTATCTATCTATCTATCTATCTAAGTCTGCTCATATCTATCTATCTATCTATCTATCTATCTATCTATCTATCTATCTATCTATCTAAGGGCACCTTGAGGTGGTGTAATGGCTGTCTCTCTAGAACAATTATGAGTGAATTCGATCCTCACTGAGTGCCCCATACTTTCGGCCTTGTGCCACATCTGAGTTATGCTTGGAAAATCACTATCTATCTATCTATCTATCTATCTATCTATCTATCTATCTCATTCTGCTCATATCTATCTATCTATCTATCTATCTATCTATCTATCTATCTATCTATCTATCTATCTCAGTCTGCTCATATCTATCTATCTATCTATCTATCTATCTATCTATCTATCTATCTATCTATAGTAGTCTTTCCATTGAGTCTGAGCCTCAGACTAAGAGGAAACAGCGCCACCCAATCCAACTCTTTTCAGACTCGACAGAGTTCATCCACACGCACTTGTGGCTGATGATATATTTTCCACCCTACAACCCCTTTCCTATAGATGAAACGTTGCAAGCCTCTCGCTACTCTATCGCTATTTCCATGGCAAATGTTCTGACGAGCGACAGTCCTTATTTCCACCAGTTCAGACCTTGACAGCTATGACCCACCATACCACGGTCACAAGGACGAATCATCATCCATCCCTTCGTATTCCATTGGTAAAGAGGGAGTTTAATTCGATATTCCCAACGGCCGCTGCTTTGTGGAACAGACTCCCGAGGTGATACTTCCCTGATCACTACAATCTTAATCTTTTCAGGTCTAGAGCCAACCGCTGCCTGTCCTACCTATCTTGATGATCTGCATATCTTACCTCTTTTATTACATCCATAATACCTCATCATTCAGTAACCCTCTACCTTCAGTGGCTCTTGGGCCTTGTATTGTGTGAACAATAGTGTAAAACAATTTGCGCGTAGAATCAGAAGCCAATAAATTAATGAGTAATATAATAACATTTCGGAAAATGTTGTATATCACAAAATTTGACTAATTTATTTTATAGTCATAACTCCGACTTAACACATTTTTTTAAAATCATTTCACCCCACGCAATAAGCTATAATCCCACTAAGGCACAAGATTAGGTTACTGCTAGTGGAGGAGAAGAAGACTACTTGTGGAGTTACCCCACTTACTTTTCTAAAAAAAAAATCGCTAGAGGACGCTCCTAAGCCTATAAACAGTGACATTCTCTGTCATCTTCTTTCTCCTGTCTCACCAGGTGACGGTAAGATGTAGGTCTGTTGTAGCATACCTACGGACAATAGTGGGTATGTCCCCATTCACATAAATACAGTAGTAAATACTGTATGTTGTCTGCAGTCGGAGATTCGTCTCCAGCTGTGCTGGGCAAACTCTCTGCCTCCGGGTAGAGAGAATCACCAGACAAGGCTATGTCGAAAGGGAGAGTCTCGTCTCGGGGTAAAAAAAAAGCTATCCAAACCCATTTTATACGGGATCTACGCAGAATTTTTTGCCGATCCTATGGGCTCGGATACCTCACATTAAATTCGGCCTTGTGCCACATCTGGCCGCGTGGGGCGGTTGGTAGATATTCTGCAGTTGGAGATTCATTGAGGAATTCACTTAACTCACTTCTAGCGATTAACTATTACTTCTATGGACCGGTGGAAAATCTTATATGTGTTGTTCTTGTCCTAAGTATTATCGTTCATTACCAACCTTCGTTTGATTGTTCTATTCAGTAACCTTCCCTAGGTTCAATAAGGTCGAACGCGGAGAAAAGCACGCAACCACGCACGCAGGCACGCACGCAGGCACGCTCTCTGCACTTTTATTAATATAACACCTTTCTTTAAGACTTCTACACACATTTTACACATAGAGACAATTCACTAGTTTAGATGTTTTCTTCATTAATGTTCATTGTTTTGTCTCACACAGCAATCTTCAATTGTCTATGTATACCATTGTTTTGTTAATACATACTTATCGTTTATTTTTATATATATATATATATATATATATATATATATATATATATATATATATGTATGTATCATAATTTTCTTTGAGGTGCAGAACTTTATTATTGAAATAAAAAGGTAAGACCAGTTTTTACACTTCATGATAAAAAAAAACTAAAAAACAAAAACAAAAAAAAAAAAAAAAAACAGCCAATCCGTTTCGTCCTCACTCAACAGAGCTGGAATCTAATAAATATCACAATATAAAATATAAAAGACATATAATGTGCAACACTGAAGGCGGAACAATCTAGATTGTAATAACGTCGTTGCAATACTAAAGGCGGAAAAATTCTAGACTGAAATAACGTCAACAGAGGGACTGTTGGGTCTAGACGTCATTACAATGTAGATTGTCCCGCCTTTAGTATTGTACATTATATGTCTTTTATATTTTATATTGTGATATTTATTCCCTCGATTCCAACTCTGTTGCGTGAGGGTGAAACTGATCGGCTGTTTTTTTTTTTTTTATCCTGTTTTTGTTTTATTATATATATATATATATATATATATATATATATATATATATATATATATATATATATATATATATATTTATGTACATAACTATCGTCGTCGTCGACTCTCGTCGATTTCGACGTATGAGGCCAAGCAGTTTCCAGGAAACCGACAGCCTGACACCGACACATGCGATTTGATTTATAGTGGTGAAGGTTTCGTGCAGGACCAGCCACACTTTTTGAAGGGAAGAATACAGAGACCTAGTTCACTGAGTGCCACAAGGTTCCCAAACGACCTTCCGCAGGTTTTGAATTCAGAGTTGTCCTTCTCCTACATATATATATATATATATATATATATATAATATTAGTGGTCAATATACGCACACAGACACACACAGACACAGACACACACACACACATATATATATATATATATATAAATTCCCAAGAGTATAGAATCTAGGAAGAACTCAATGTCCAAGACAGAGTAAGAATATAATATAAAAGGCTCAAACACTAATATTCCATGGTTATATATATATATATATATATATATATATATATATATATATATATATATATATATACTAGAATAATCCTACCTACTAGGTAGGTAGGTTTGCCTGGGCCCTTAGGATTATTCTAGTTTATCAATCTACTTAGCGTATTGAGCACTCTACGTCGTTGTATTTTTACTCGTTTTGGTTTCATTTTTCTTTGGACTTCGAGCTTAAACACTTGACGATTGGTTTCGTCTTGTTTTAATGTTCTTGGTTCTTTCAATTTTTCCTCGGGTACCGATTTGTTCTACAGCAAGTTGAGCTATCCGAGTTTTTTTCCAAACGAGTACTACCATTTATATATATATATATATATATATATAATTTTGTTGTTACTTTGTCATTTATTACGCGAACTCATATTCCGAGTCCGCCATTTTTGTTGAGTGATAAATATACCTGGAGACACGTGTTTTCCACCTAAACACTCGTACAGGAAGGACAATGAAAGAATAGGATTTAAGAAGACAGAAGATGGTGATTAACTTTAAATTTAAAGTTTTGAAGATTGTAAGCGGCAGGAAATCGGAAGAGAGTTCCACGAGCGAGAAGTGCAAGAAAAGGAACTATTAAAATAGAACTTATAGTTATATGTAGCTATTTTAACAGTAAAACGATGAAACCTAACAGCCAATCCAGTTGTACGCTTGCCAAGTTGTCGAGTTACCAAGGAAGAGAGCTCATTAGAACAACTACCATGGAATTATTTATAGAAAAGACAGAGGTAAGCAACGTCATGTCAGTGGCAAAGTGAGTGAAGTCGAGACGCCAGAAGAAAATGGAAGAATAATGGATAACGGCTCGGATTGAGGAATCAGAGAGCCGAGTTCGAATTCCAGTCGAATCCATTACATTCTTATAATGCTAATACCCTTGGGAAAATTATGAATCCTCTTCTTCTCTCCTGATTTATTTATTAACACAAACAAAACAATTTATTATAATTTATAATAAAAAGGAGGCACTGTAGAGTAATGGATAGCCGCTCGGATTGAGGAATCAGAGAGCCGAGTTCGAATTCCAGTCGAATCCATTACATTCTTACGATGCTAATACCCTGGGGAAAGGTATGAATCTTCTTCTCTCTTGATTTATTTATTAACACAAACAAAACAATTTATTATAATTTTAATAAAAAGGAGGCACTGTGGGTAATGGATAGCCGCTCGGATTGAGGAATCAGAGAGCCGGTTCGAATTCAGTCGAACCCATTACATTCACTTTACGTGCTAATACCCTTGGGAAAGGTATGAATCCTCTTCTTCTCTCCTGATTTATTTATTAACACAAACAAAACAATTTATTATAATTTATAATAAAAAAGAGGCACTGTGGAATAATGGATAGCCGCTCGGATTGAGGAATCAGAGAGCCGAGTTCGAATTCTAGTCGAATCCATTACATTCACTTACGTGCTAATACCCTTGGGAAAGGTATGAATCCTCTTCTTCTCTCTTGATTTATTTATTAACACAAACAAAACAATTTATAATAAAAAGGAGGCACTGTGGAATAATGGATAGCGGCTTGGATTGAGGAATCAGAGAGCCGAGTTCGAATTCCAGTCGAATCCATTACATTCACTTACGTGCTAATACCCTTGGGAAAGGTATGAATCCTCTTCTTCTCTTGATTTATTTATTAACACAAACAAAACAATTTATTATAATTTATAATAAAAAGGAGGCACTGTAGAGTAATGGATAGCCGCTCGGATTGAGGAATCAGAGAGCCGAGTTCGAATCCAGTCGAATCCATTACATTCACTTACGTGCTAATACCCTTGGGAAAGGTATGAATCCTCTTCTTCTCTTGATTTATTTATTAACACAAACAAAACAATTTATTATAATTTATAATAAAGGAGGCACTGTGGAGTAATGGATAGCCGCTCGGATTGAGGAATCAGAGAGCCGAGTTCGAATTCCAGTCGAACCCATTACATTCACTTAAAATACCCTTGGGAAAGGTATGAATCCTCTTCTTCTCTCCTGATTTATTTATTAACACAAACAAAACAATTTATTATAATTTATAATAAAAAGGAGGCACTGTGGAGTAATGGATAGCCGCTCGGATTGAGGAATCAGAGAGCCGAGTTCGAATTCCAGTCGAATCCATTACATTCACTTACGTGCTAATACCCTTGGGAAAGGTATGAATCCTCTTCTTCTCTCCTGATTTATTTATTAACACAAACAAAACAATTTATTATAATTTATAATAAAAGGAGGCACTGTGGAGTAATGGATAGCCGCTCGGATTGAGGAATCAGAGAGCAGAGTTCGAATTCAGTCGAATCCATTACATTCACTTACTGCTAATATTGGGAAAGGTATGAATCCTCTTCTTCTCC